ATCTGCTTCTCTTCAAACTCTCTCATCTGCTAGGTTCATTTTTCTTCACTGCATATCACACAGGATAAAACTGAGAAGCCCACATCTGTGCCAGAGAGAAAGTTAACGGAGACTTCTCCATAAAGCTGTGATGGCAGAGGCCAGACAGCCTCACAAGGCTCATGATGCAGAAGGGACAAACTTATTGATCTTGATGCTTCTGAAAAAAGAAAAAAAAAACCCTCTTAGAATGAGCTATAACCACAAATTTACCTTGAGCATTTGTCATTTGGATTGGGATAGGTAGAGCAAATAGAAACTTAACATGAGGTCCAAAAATCGCACAGGTTGAGAAATGAATTTAATGTTATTCCAGGAAGGATAATGTCCCTGGGCAAGTGGCAGCAGTTGATCATCTAAGGGGAAAGCAAATGTTAAGCAGACCTGTCTAGGACGGGTGTTTCGCCTAAGGTTGCTCACTCAGGGAATAAATCAGCAGATGACAGCTCTGTGTGTCTCTCTACCTTGCAAAAAACACTAGGCCTATCAGTTCCTCATAAAAGTTCAGATTCAAACTCAAAAATCACCCAAAGAACCAATGTGTCATGGATTTCTAAACCTTGCACTGCCGGAAGATGTGTGATGCTGTCCTGTGTATTGTAGAGTGTCTATTAGTACCTTTGGCCTATACTGAATAGCTATCAATGCTACCTTCCTCTCCCCAGCTGTGGCAAATAAAAAGGTCCCAGATCTGGCTTACACATGACTTGGAGGTGAAAAATGAAATGATTCAGAAATCTGAGTTAATTACAGAACACACGACAGAATCCGACATTTAAAACTTCTCCAATAAATAAGACACTTCCAATAAAGAGAGGACTTAAAATGTGATCAAACAAAAAGATGCTATTAGATTGGATGAGGCATATTTTTTGTGAAAATACAAATAAAACTTACAAAAAAGAAAAAGCAAAATATAATGAAATTATAAAGCAATGGCTGTGTATTAAATAACAAACACAGCCAAAGTAAAAATTAGGGTGCTGAAAAATCTACCAAAATGAAGAATGAAAAAGAAAAGTAAAATAAGAACAACAATTAAGGTACATGGGTGAATAATGAGTAGGCATTAGTACTATGTTTTAATTTTTGGGAAAAGAGAAGAGATAAAGGAAGACTGGCAGGAAAACTTCATTGACCTGGGGCTGACACTGTGGTATAGTTGGTAAAACCAAGGCCTACAACCCCAGCGTTCTATATGGGTGTCAGTTTGAGTCCTTGCTGAGAAGCAGTGGAAGATAGCCAAGGTGTTTGGGCTTCTATCACGAAGTGGGAGACCTGAACATTTTTCTTCCCATTTATCTTTCTATGAATTTTATTTCAATTTCATGTAAGAAATGTGTTGTGATTTTCTTTTTTATTTTTTCTTTTAAGATTAATCATTTATTGAAAAGTCAGATATACAGAAAGGAGGAAAGACAGAGAGAAAGATCTTCTGTCTGCTGATTCACTCCCCCAGGGACCACAATGGCCAGAGCTGTGCCAATATGAAGCCAGGAACCAGGAGCCTCTTCTGGGTCTCCCACACGAATGCAGGGTCCCAAGACTTTGGGCTGTCCTTGACTGCTTTCTCAGACAACAATCAGGGAGCTGCACAGGAAGTGGAGCAGCTGGGATACGAACCAGCACCCATACGGGATCCTGGTACATGCAAGACAAGCTACTAGATTACCGTGACAGGTCGATGTAGCTTTTACAGCTCTCACAAGTACCAGTGGGGGCTGGAGTCAAACCCTATCTGTCACTCCACAGTCCCAGTGCACACCCATGCGGTGCAGACTGTAGCCATGTACAGACATGCCTGCTGCCCTCAATCCTACTCTCATTCTTAACAGTGGGAATCCCAACCCAGCTGGAGTGCCCCCTTAGCTCCCCAGCAAGGCCTAACACCATCTACTGTTCTTGGGCAAGCCAACAGAGTGTAGTTCCACAGGGGTGAGCCCACCTTTTCCCTACAGATTCTGCTATCAGACCCACCTCTCTCACTCTTGTTCTCCCCTCCAAACCAATCTGGTGTCAGTCCCCTACTTACATAACACGTCGTGGACTCATCTGTGGAATTTCCTCAGCTGTAATTCCTAACCTTGGCATAAAAAACACAGGTCATTTCTGATCCCATCATTCCTCTGTAAATCAAGAACCTCTAATCATGAGGGTGTGCCGCCAGGCAGCCCGAGGGACTTTGTCCAGCACCTTTGGTACCCAGGGCATCCAGGGCCTTCTAGGGGAGCCATCTGGTCCAGCTACAGGCACACATGTGGGTCAAAAAACCTAACCTCACCCAATGCCAGATCTTGGGGAAATAGTGGGCGCTTCCTTCAGGTTACCACTCCCACTGGAGAATATTGGAAAACAGGATTGGGGCAATAGCAGGCTTGACAGAACAGCACTGACCAGTATGTGTGGGCTGGATAATAGGGCAGGTTAGGTTGGGTTGCACTAGGCTTCAATGCCCATTGACATGTACGAGAGTTAAATGGGATGTGGGACAGGCTGAACAAATTTGCAATACACCATGACGAGCATGGGAACTAGGGTAGGGGGCAAGCCTGATGGGGATTATGGGGAGTTGCCCAACTAAGTTGCAGCTCCCACTGGTTTGCGTGAGGGACGAGTATGAAGTGGGCAGTATCAGGCTGGACTGCAACACCCATTGGCTCGCGTGGAAGACAGGGCTGGAAACAGAACTAACCTAGCAATTGCAATGACCAGCATGTGCATAAACTGATTGGGGTGATGGACTGTGCCGGACCCTGTACTGGCAAGCACACACAAGAATCAGGTCTGGGATTACCTCAGATGAAGTTACTTTGGGGATCCCTCCAACTGAACTGCTAATCTCAGAACCCTAACCATGAAGACTGTCAGCCAGTGCATTTGGAAGAGATTTCATCGTTCTTGGAGCGGCAAGATCGGCAACAATTCAGACCTGTTGAACTATCAACAATACATGAGCGTTACCCTCAGAGTATGCCCCACATCGGGGACCTGAGATGGGTGGGAGGCTGGATGGTGTTCTTCCCTTCATCTCTTCCTTTACCCCAGATACAGAAAAAACAAATAATAATATTAATGTGGAAACAATGGTCTTACCCACTTTCCCGTAGCCTTTGATCCTTTGTGCCCTCATCAACTAGGCAAAGATTACCAAAATAAAATTAAATAAATGAATGAATAAATAAATAAAACCCTAACCTCTAGGGTGGGGTGGTCCTAAAGGTCCACTGAGCTTGCGTCCCTCCCAGGGAGCCAGTGTGTTCAGCTGTATGTACTTGCTCTGGGTTCCTAGTTTTAGTTTGGTTTTATAGTACCTTAAGACAAAGGTTCTTTAAAAAGTTCAAAGGTTTTTTTTTTGCACAGAAATACTTAACCTTTCAATTCTATTCTCCATGAACTTTTTGGAGTACTCCCACACGAGCGACTCTGTTGTATTTTTAGTTTAGTATTTGAGGTCTGGTCTAAGAGGTTAGTCCAAATCAATAGTCTCCAAAACTTAATGGTTTCTGTTTCCCGTGTCTCTCTTCAGAAAGCCACCACAAACTTCTTATACTTTTCAAATAACGCGTAACCTGAATTGAATCATAAAGAAATATCAGTAAAAACATACTGAGGACTTACCTACCATATAAGGCCCATTCTCTCCAAAAAGGACAGTATCTTTAAAGATAAAAAGATTGAGGAATCATTCTAGGTTAAAGGTGACTAAAGAGATACAAAACTAAATGCAATTTGTGATCCTGCTAAATAAGACAGATCAGGAAGAAAAACTAGAATAAATTATACCATTGAAACAATAAGTGAAATTTATAGCATTATCTGAACAATAAATCTTCGGATTTCCATCATTGTTCGTGTTCTGTAATGGATGACCTCACAGTCAAAGTAACAAAAAGACATGCTATTTGTAATTTACTATCAATGGTTCAGGAAGAAGAAAAAAAGATATATACTCAAAGAGAGAGAGGGAAGACAAGGAGTGTGAAGAGAACAAAATAAATGTGACAACATTAACTGTGGTCGAACCTGGGTGGAAAGTATAAAGGGATGTTTTGCACCATTATTTTAAGGTTGTTAGTCTGAAGTTATTTGAAAAATGTCAACTTCTACACAAGGGCTTGGCACATTTTCTCTTAAAGTGTGCCACGTTCATGCTCCTGCAGTCAGCAGTATGCCTGCAGCTCGTTCCAACTGTGAATACTGTCCCCCAAAAGATTAAGACCTTTTGAGCATTACTTCTATTTCTATATTTAGTTGTATTCCCTGACTCTTAAAAACAGTATTTATTCCCCTCCCCTCAGGAAAAACAAGAAATGGCAATTCACCCAATTTTCCCTAAACCTTGATTCTTCCCACCCTGATCAACCATGTAATAATTATTTTAAAAAATAAAATTTAAAAAAAAACAGTATTTAAATTCAAGTGGCAAAGATAATGATCTTACTGATATTTAATAGGAAGTCATCTGTTAGTCTGAGTATCAGGGAACAAAAAAGTTTTAGTTAAAGCAAAGCTCAAATACCATAAAGCCAATAGCTTTTGATACATAAATTATCAATGTTCTTCTTTTGGTCTTTAAAACTAAAAGTTTCCTAAATATGATTTTTCTCACTCATTTATGATTGTTTATTCACTGTTAAGGAAAATATCAATTTATTCATTTATTTTATTGTTTTTTGATATAATTTAGTTGGCAGTGGGCTCTCTCCCCCCGCCTCCAAATTCCCTCCCATCTCCCCTGTTCTCCTCTCTGGAAATATCAATTTTGAACAAAGCACCACTTATTGGTAGTGAGAAAAAAGTGCAAATTGACTCTTCAATGAAACTTAAACTGTATTTATTATTTTGGAAAGTCAGGCTTATTCATCAAGGCTTAGGTAAAAGAATATGATTACAGATTAGAAATTCACAAAGTAAAAAAAATGGATTAAATTTTTAAAAATATTCAATTTCACAAGAGAACAAATTCAAAATTATTTTTATTTGTAGTTTTATATATATTACACATAACATAAATATACACTTGTAATACAAAAATCTATACAAAACCTCAAGTAATTTAACATCAAAAAAAGGAGATAAACTGCATTAGATGTCTGACAGTTTCCTTGTTTAAATACTTTTCAAAACTAATTTTCAGAGGCAATCCATCAAAAGTCAATTTTTCAGAAAGCACTGTGTTCATATAAATCTGTCATTCAAGTACATTTTATTGGAACAACCACCATCTGACTGGCTGCAAAGTCTAATGGAATAAGCCATGATCCTCAGCCCAGAAGCAGCAACTAATAGGAGCAGTAGCAGAACATGAGAGCAATTCTGAACCTTGCAGTATTTAATGCCATATCCTAAGCACACCATGTACTCATACTGTTAACTTACCAGCTCGTGGTTAAAAACATTGTAACAGTAACAAATGTAACATTTCTTAATTTCTTTTTTATTCAATTTGAAAAACAGTACGTCTTATATATTGTGCTTGGCAACTGGACATTATACCTGAAGGAATAATTTATGGTTCTGATGGACAAAATAAATACACAACTAAAGGATTTTGGTATTGTTTAAATAACAATAATTTTGGTTCAATAGTTATCAATCATAGCAAACACAAATAACATAATGCTCCTCACCACAATTTTGCCATGTTCTTAAAAAGTGAATTATTGAGGCACAGAAACATTAAATGATTTGCCCAAGGCCATGAGGAGAATTAGGGTGAGATAAAAGTCTTCTGTTCTCTAGCTGAAGCAACTATATTATAACCTAGTTTATTCCATCTCTCAAAATGAGCTCATTAAACAAATACAGAAATTAGATGCATAATTCAGGAATGTGTTTCACCTAAACTAGTAATAAAACTTAACTCTAAGGACCCTATTTTCATATGTTATCAGAATTTACAAATTAAATACCATCACTTTTTTAACTTATTAGGCATGTAATAAATTATGTCTTACATTTGACAAAACTGATTGCAAAAACAAAACTGACAATATAATTTTAAACAAATTCTAAGAAAGATGCTTTTCAACATGATTCTTACAAAACACTAATCACAGGGCCTATAAAGTTTAGGAGACAGTACAGCAGATGCAAACATCTTAATATAAACATATAAAGTCATCTTCTAGTTGACCTTCTGCTTATGAAAACGTTCTAACAAAGCACTCATGATGTTTCCTGGTATTCTTTGGTGCTTATCAATCAAAGCTTGAACAGCATTCTTTGTCTATTAATAAAACAAAGGAAACACCATTATTTTTTTAGTTATCAATAATGATCATTTATTTCATGATGACTTTTATGTATTGCTACTTTCAAGAAGTAGTCCATAACTCAGCCCTCATTTCCCCTCAGAAATCATGATTTCCTTCTCAGTACAACAACAGTGTATTTCTTCTTTTATTAAGCCTTGAATTACAGTTGTCCATTCACATGGTTATTTTCTAAAGGCCATAAGCTCCTTACAATAGCTGTTAGTATTTCTCCATCATTCAGCACAGCAATGTCTTGCACACAATGACACTAAAAGGAGCTGAAGAAAGAAAATCAGAAGGATAAAGCAGTAGGGGATTTTCTGACAGGCAAATGAAAGGTCCCATTCTTTCTAGATATTAACAAACTACAGTGTGTATTTTTGTTTTATCACCATACGGGTATATACCAAGCACTCGTACTAGTAACCTAGCAGGGAAAAGTAAAGGAGAGAAAATATAAACTAGTATCTTTTAGTCCATTCTTATAATTTCAATACAGTTTAACGGGAATTTTTATAAAGCCACAGAAATGGAAAAGTCAATTACAAGTACTGAGAAATTAGGTAAAGTTATTTGTCTCCCAGTAAGAAATTTAAACCTTTTTTTTATAAATGACTTATTTGAAAGAATTATAAAACTGGGGGAGATAAAGGAGAGCTCATCCATCTACTAGCTCACTTCCCAAATGACGAACAGCCAAGGGTCTCCAATGTAGGGGGCAGGGAATCAAGCACTTAGGCCATCTTCTACAACTTCCTCTGGTGCATTGTCAGGGTGCTAGACTGGAAGTGAAGCAACGAGCCCTCAAACAGGAGCCAGCACGAGAGGCTGGCATCTCAGGGAGCAGGTTCGCCAGCTGTGCACAATGCCATCCGCACAAACCATATTATTTTACATCCATTTATGGCTAATTAAAATTGTTTTTATGCATGTATATGCTACATGCATATACAGATAGAATCCATTTTTTACATCTACCCTATAAATTAGTAAGCCCTAACCTAATGATAAAGTTTAGAAAGGTCTTTCTAAATGAATTTTCACTTCTGCAAAAACAGGAATTACTTCACACTATGAAAAAGTTTTGATGAAAATAAAATGACATTCTCAGATACTGAGCACAGTCACTAACAACTAACACCCTGAAGTTTATTATTGTATTTCCAAAGTTATATTCATTTCATTAAAAACAAATTAGATACACTGGAAACCACAACCTCAGTGAAACAAGCTTCTAATCCTTAGGAGTTCATAAATTATTTTTAAGAATTAAGTATAAAGTAATTAAATGTGAGATAATCCTAACACACGTTATCTGAAAAAGGAAGTGTTCTCATAAGTTCAGACACCAGGTGGACAGTAAATGGAGAAGACACATGCCAAAGACACAGCTTGCCTCATGAGGACCAATAAGACACCAAGAAGGAAGGAGCATGAGGAAAACAAATAACTGCTTAAGCAAGGGTGAGTTGGCCAACTTGGCTGGAGTTTCGGGTATAAATTCCAGAGCTGGCCTGCATAAGACTTCTACACTTAAAAAAAAAAAAAAGACACTAATAATAATAAAGCACAAAATCTAACTGTTATGCTAAAGTGTAAAAGGAAGAATTTGGAGTGAATACCCAGATTGTTCAATCAGAAAGCACAAGATCACCAATGATCCGCTCTGTCACCCAGTGGGCATTCTTTAGTCTTCACCCTTTTGTTATAGCACTGGCGGCTCTGGAACCTCACCCTCTCCTCACTTTCCAATATCTCTCACACAGTTCTTTCACATCTTCCTTTGCAGACTCATTTTCCCTAAGCCAGGCATTGACTGGAACCTCTAAAGGCTCAGAAGTCCCCTCCATTTCCACAGCTCTTATTTCTACTATTTGCTGATGAGTCGAATTTTCATCTATAATCCCGTAAGCTTCAGCTTGGTGTATTCAACAGTGTTTCCCTTAAGTGTTTTAAAGGTACCCACACTTTAAGGCCAAACTAACATTCCCTCTCCCTCATCCTTTCCTTGATGAGTTCTCTCCGTATTCCAGTAAAGACTGGCATGAATCTAGCCAAGTAAGCCAAAACCTAGGGTTCCTTCCTAACAACTGCTATTTCCCATTCACAATAGCCAACTCATCAAAAGCACCAAATCGTTTTTCTTCTGATGATGACTCAAAAATGTCCACTTCTTTTCATCTCCTCTCCACAATAATAGTTCATGTGCATATAGATAAATCTGTACTCGTTTATAGATGGATGGATATGAGAGTGTGTAGTTTCAGAAAGGCACAGGGACAGAGAAAACACGGACACAGCACCACAGAGACTGAGAACTCCCAGCAAGCACCCTTCCTGCACAGATGTTACAACAGCATATTTTACTGTAGATTCAGTTTTTAAAAAATAACTCATCTCAGGTCCGGTGCGATAGTGTAGTAGTCTTCACCTTGAATGCGCCAGGATCCTATATGGACACCAGTTCTAATCCCAGTGGCCCCGCTTCCCATCCAGCTCCCCGCTTGAGGCCTGGGAAAGCAGTCGAGGACAGACCAAAGCCTTGGGACCCTGCACCCACGTGGGAGACCTGGAAGAGCTCCTGGCTCCTGGCTTCGGACTGGCTCAATTCCAGCCATTGTGGTCGCTTGGGGAGTGATTCATCGGACGGAAGATCTTCCTCTCAGTCTCTCCTCCTCTCTGTATATCTGCCTTTCCAATAAAAATAATAAATCTTTTTTTCAAAAAAAAAGTACTCATCTCTACAATCAAATGCCTGAACTGTCTCTCCTAACTTAAAATAATATTTCCTGCCTATATATAAATACTAACTTATATGCTAATAATTTTGAATTCCGATAATTCGGGAGTTATTACTATGCTGTAGTTTATGCTTATAAATGAACAAAAAAGACTGGAAAATCATGACAATATATTCATAAAAGGAAAATTTTTAATATCCTTGATTTCAAATTTAGTTTGATTAAAAAATAAACTTACAGAATATACCATCTAAAGTGATACTAATGTGTAGTCAAATAGTGAGTATTTGACTACACATTAAAACTTCCAGGCCAAGGTTTCTTTTCCTTCCCATTACTTTCTGTTTTGACATAAAAATAGACCATATTTATAAAAAAAAGCATTGCTAACTAGTTCTGACCCACTTAAACACTAATAAATAGGCAGGGAAAAGCAGACAAAATAGAAGTCAATTCTATCCTAAAGGAGAATGCTTATGTTAGGAAGCAGCAAAGAAACGTGAGATTAACAACAAAGTGTGTTGGGCAGCAGCAATGTGAGAGAGTCCGGTCTCAGCCAGGTGTGGGCCCCTGCAGCGCCTAGGAGGCTTCACCAAGGAGGAAAGGACAGGCATGCTATATGGAACAGCATTGTTCCTGAAAGCTGCTGTCAGGCCATTGTACTTTCAGGTGCAGGACAGGTTTCACAGGGCATCTACTTGATGAGCCAGTACAACAAGTGGAGACAAGGGGGCATGCGAGTCATGAATGTGGCCTTTATGAAACTTCTACCCTATCAGTTGCCCATCTAAGACACAGCTGCTTCAGCTGCACATCCTTTTCTTAATAACTCAACTTGGTGAGTTCCCATACGGCAAGTTGTATTACAGTCATTTATTTCTTCTCCCTATCAGGCCCCTCTCTGGGAAAATTTTAGGTCCTCTTTGACAGAAATGAAGGATGGCTATGAGACTGCTTTGGTCAATTAAGATGTTGGTGGGAGTGAGTGTCATCCCACAGGCCTCTGTGTTCAGTATGAATTTCAAAGCAAAGCAGGCATGCATAAAACTGCAGCTGATCCTTGAGAAAACAACCAGTAAGAAAAGGATTTTACAGTCACAAACCTCTAGGAGTCTATAGAAGTTAACCTATCAAAGATGACTGAATCATCCTAGTTCCTCATGTGTTAATCAATGAAACAAGATCTATTTTATATGGTAGAGATGGAGAATAAATCATACTATATATGAAAAGGCAGAAGTTAAACTTGTTGGTGACATGACCTTAGTGAAGAAAATTCTAAAGTTTAAATACACAAGCACACACATATGCACAAACAGAATGAAACCTACTGAACAAAATTGCAAGACTCCAAATCAGCACAGAATATTGTGCTTTTATACACCAATGGTGAACAACAGGAATGGAAAGTAACAGAACAGTCTCAATTACAGTAGCACCAAAAAAGGTAAGATCATTAAAAATGAATTTAACCAAAGGAAGAAAAAGATTTGTAAAGTGGTAACTATGAAATATTGCTGAAGAAAATAAAAACGATAAACAAATGTTAACATGCAAGCTAAATACACAGAATGGAAGACTTAATATGGTTAAAATGTCTAGACTACTCAAAGTAATCAACAGATTTAATTCAATCCCTATCAAAATCATTGTGGCATTTTTCACAGGGAGAGAAATAAAATCATATAATTCATGTAGAATCTCACGGGACCCCAAATATTCAAAACAATCTTACAAAAAGAAGAATAAAACTAAAAATTTCCAAATGCAAAAGATATTACAAAGCTACAATAATAAAAAGAGTATGATACTAGCATAAGTACTACAGCACAAAGCCCAGAACTCTCATGTGTATAGTCAATTAATCATCTATGAGAATGCTAAGATCACATAACAGGAAAAAGTCTTCTACAATGTCAAGATCATTTTGTAAGATAAAAATCTAGATGTCTCTTATTCAAAGTTGCGTACTGCTTAAAAGCAAAAGGCTATATGCTAAAAAAAAGTTACAATGGTAGATTTATGTATTTTATAATTAAGAAAACTGTTTAACTCAGATTAAACATGTATGCATGTACGAATGTATACATATACATATACACAAAAGGCATAATCCAAATACATCCTTGGGATTGGTGCTGTGCTGCCCAAGCCATTGCCTGCAGTGCTTGCACTCCCACAAGGGTGCTGGCTAGAATCCTGGCTGTTCTACTTCTGAACCAGATTCCTGC